GGCTCTCCTTAGGCTCACTGCTCTCTCTCTTGCCTGGTGCAGGGAAAATTCTCCTCTTAAGATATAACTACTTCAAGGAGATCTCTCACACTCACCCTCCACCCTCCATCCTCTGCAGACAGGAAAGAAGCCTTGCAGTGTATGATGAATGAGTGTAGTCCCTGGCTTCCCTCCTAAGTCTACAAATGTTTGCTTGAGAATGCAAAGAAAATGTGGCAGTGAAACACATGCAACACATATGCATACATGTGTACACAAAGGCACTAACATGCATATACACCAACACACATAAACACAAATATATACCAACTCACACACTAACACACATATACACACAAATAAGCACCAACACATGTGCATAAACACACAAATGCACAAAAACACTCATATATACTAATACATGCACACGCACAAATGTATGCAAACACAAGCACACAAATACACATTCACACAAATATACAGCAACACATATACATACAGAAGCACACAGAAACACACAAATCCATGCACCAACACAGATACACACACACATACACACCAACAATCCATAGACTGTTCTGCTCAAAAGGGCCATTTGTGATGTGGGGCTTCATTGAACATTTAATTTGAGGCCACCCATTTCTTAGTGACAGAGCTGTCAGGAAAGCATGTCTGCACCTGTTGCAAAGTCTCACTTACTGCTGAGCACAGACACAGACACACACACATATAGAATATCGTCCTGTGCTCTTGAATAAAGTGTGTGCGCGTATAAAGTATCATCCAAGTTTAGCATATGTCCCAATAAAGCAGTCAGCATCAGATATAGACACAGCACATTTCAAGCTTAGGCGAGTACTAAGAAGAGGTCATGCATGCATAAAAAGCTTCCCTTCCTACTCCTCAGCCCCAACAGTGGATGCTTAGGGCACCTCTGTCCTATGACACCGAAGTTTGAGCAGCTCCAGGGACAAGCTGCTTCCCGACCTGCAGAGGGGACTGAACTCTCTGGCTAGATGTGTTTAACAATAATCTCCCAAAAAGAAAACCTGTCACTCCTGTAGCTTTTTGCCTTTAGAGGCTTCTGCCCCCCTTTGGAGTCACTCGGAACAAGGGATGCGCTTTCCCACATAGAAACTTAAACTTCTGCCACCGGTTCCCAGCAGGGACTCTGAAATGATTTCTTCCCTGTGTGTCTCTAAAGTTCATTTTCACAGTCAGTGCTGCCCCCGCCTATATTGCACCACTCCACCTTGCTCAGCAAGCAAGCAAGAGGTTCTGGGAGGCTGGACCAATGTGGGTCCACGGCCCTGCCATCATTCTGCTTGCCAAAAGCCACTTAAGGCGGCAGGTAAGTACGCAGTTCCAGAGGCACATTGGGTTTCTGAGGGGTGCCAGCCTAGTTTAGGCAGAAATGGGCTCTAACTTAATAATCTGCTCATCACACACAGTAAGAGACACCCTGACTTATTCAGAGACACCGTGGGTGGTGCAGAGGATGAATAAGCATGATTCACTGCCACTCTGGCACCCGGGGCACGAAGAATAATAAAACCCAAAGAATTGTAGCCGCCTGAGTAGTAAATTAAGAGATCCAGGGCTCAGCTAGACTCTAGACATCAATGTTACCATGGCAATAAAGGGCCCCAGCGTTCAGCAGCTATTACAGAGCAGGCATCTAATAGGCTAGTCTATGTCACAGCCAAAGCCCAAGGGGCTAGCAAAGAAGACCAATTAGCATATCCATTCATTATGGGCCTCTGCACACTTCTTCTCTTAATTCCAATTAGTTGTTTGTTTGAACCAACATCTCTTGCCTGTATTATACCCGTTAGTGCCTTTTAGCCAGCAGAAATAGGATTGAATTTCCACAAGGTCTTCACAATTTCCCAAGCCTTCATTTTTCCCCACGGGGGTCTAGTCTTATGTAGTCACAAACCCACGGCCTTCAGTCCCTCGAAGTGAAAGCCTCTCACACTTTCCAACTGTACTCGACAGATGGAAACCGCTTTGGAATGTGATGGGCTAAGGGATTTTCCTGGAACCTAGTGAAATAGGGATCTGGGGCCGTAATCTGGACCATTTAGGTCAAGGAAACCCTCTGATCTTAGACAGTGAGCCTGCTGGCTTGGCCTACCGGCCATTACTCAGAGGCTAGCTGTTCGGGAGGGGGCTGGGGGAAACATTGGACACCAGGAACCAGGCTGACACCATCAAAGTCAAGCTGTAACTATTCCAGTCCGAAGTACCGCCCTTCAAAGTCTGGCCTGAGGCCTGCCTATTCTGGAAACCCTCCCTCGGTCATCACAGCCCCAAGTGAATTCTCCCTCTTCCTTCACTTCAAGAAGGACACCCTTTGTTAGGAAGTGTTTATGGGTAGCCTCGGGCCCTAATTTGGCCTATCACTTCCTTCCTCAAATGACTTGTCCACTGAGTGCACAGGTGACTAAGGCTAAGAGGGACAAGAGATTCTAGAGCATTCTCAACAGTGCCTGGATGACTCCAATATCAAGAAACTCTTAAGCTCCATTGCCCCGCCTACACCCTTCTCCTCACGCCTAGTCTGAGGAGTCAGCTACTCCCTGCAGAGGGAAGCTGATCTTCCGTGACTATGACACACACTGCCCACTCACATATAAACACACACCTCCATTTAATTGTCCACAGGAACAGATGTGAGGAATTAGCCTATGTCACATGGTACCGCCAAAAATCCTCTAAACTGCTCTATCACCTCTTCCTTCTACTCGGGACAGAAAAGTAGAAGAGTCCAGAAGACTGTTTCTGTTCTTAATTGCCAGTCAATGGCCACAGAATTTTACCAGAGCAAACAACCAGGAACTTCTATGGGGGAGAAAAGCAGCTGTTAATGCTTTGTCCAAGGAAAGGGCATGAGGCTTTGAAGACTTGAATAATGTGTCTTTGAATCTGTAGTCATATTCAAGGCCTTTAAATTCTCCCTTCCATGCCTTTGCAACCACTGATCTACTCACCGGTTCTGGCTCCATCCTGCTCCACTGCTAAGAATGTTGTCTGTTTTTTTTTTAATTGACAGAAATGGCTTCTTATTTAATTCTTTTTAGGGTGTTTTGCCTACATGTATATCTGTATACCACATGCAAGCTGTGCTTGTGGAAGCCAGAGAGGGTGTTTCATCTCCTGGGACTAGATGCTTTTGAGCTATCATGTGGGTGTTGGGAATTGAACCCGGGTCCTCGGGAAGAGCAGCCAGTGCTCTTAACTGTCAAGCCTTGTGTCCAACTCCGACAACTCTTTCAACTAGAGCTGAATGTGAACACATTTAGACGTTTTTGGTTTTGACATTCTACGGAACCTAGGTTCCCTACTGAAGGCAGTCTGGGCTGTAGTCAAAGTGCATTGCAAATGTCCTGAGTATGCATTAAACTAATTGGGATAAGAGATTCTGGAGAATGCAATATTTTATTACTTGAAGTCTTCTCACTCCAAATTTCTTTTGGCTCCATACTCTTGATTTTTGAACTGTCATTAAAAAATCATATTCTATTTTGTTAAGATTTGTTTTATTCTGTGTGTGTGTTGGTGTGCAAGCGAGTGTGGGCATCCGTGGAGGTCAGAAGAGGGCATCAGTTTATCTAGAACTGGAGTAATAGGTAGCTGTGAGCCACCTGACATGGGTGCTGGGAACTGAACTCGGGTCCTCTGCAAGAGCGGAAAGTGCTCTTACCGCTGGGCCGTTGGTGCCAACCTCTAGGAAGATAGGGCCAGTTAATGGATCCTGTATTTAGTTTTGAGGCTTCAGGTCTCAGATTTATCCTTTTCAACCCCCAGGGTAACACAAAGTACTGGAGTGGAAAACGTAGAAGAAATAGAGCTAGACAGGTGTTCAGCACTGATCATGCCCTGAAATAGATTTTTATTTTATTGAAATTCAAAGAGGGGAGTGGCTTAATTTACTGTTTGCCTTGGTTATGCCCAGAAAGTTAGTTTCTGCACTATTCTGTAACCTGGGTGAAATTGAGGTAGGGGGTGGTTTTTAAAGGAAGGATCACAAACTCCACCCAGCCCTCACAGTGGTGGACCAAACCGACCCAAAGTGCTCTACAATGTTCTTAGCAGTTTCTGGTCATTTTCTTTTGCTGGATCCCATCTTGGCTTCAGGAGTTATATATGTCTGGGAAACTGACACGGCAAAGTTCTGCCTTGTTCCCTGCCCTGAAGCTAAGGGATAAATATAGATCTCAACCACTACAGAAATTTGGCCAGGATTCCAAGGGTGTGTATGAGGGGCAGTGACTGATGGAGCCACTGTGACATGTGGCCTAGAAAAATGCTTCTTTCTATCCAAGACCCTCTTTGGGATAGGGAAGGTTAAAGAAGGAGCCTTTGCATCTAAGATTAAAAGGCATAATACACATTTCCAGGAGTTCATGAAGTGATCGGGCCAGGACTATTTTATAGGTGGCTTGGAGAGCGTGGCGAGAAGAGGGTAGGGAGAGCGAAGGGAATCTTCCCTGACACCCTAGATCCTTTTGCATGAGATCAGCCTTACGAGAAAAGCAAGTTATTCTTGGACATCTCCCCTCACCCTAACTCCCACCCATGCCCCACCCTCTTGCACACACACACACACACACACACACACACACACACACACTGATATTCAACTCTCAATTGAGAAGAATATGACTTAAGATTTCCATTGAGTCCATCATATTTCAGGTGCTGGCGAAGGGCAAGAAGTGGAAAGGCACATGAAGGGGGCGGTGAGTTGCTCATCCTCGTGACCCAGAATATCTCCCCCTCCCTGTAATGATGAGCTTGCTTTTCCAAAAGGGCTTTCCCTTGATTCCAGGAAGGGGCCAACCAATGAGAGAGGAGCATGTTAGATTATTTTGGGGAAGGGCTCGTGCCAGCAAGGTTCACTTTTAGTAGGCGCCAAGTGTCCCCAGCAACCAGTGTCTTCTGTACCAGCAGAAGCTCCAGAACTCCGACCTACTCGCCCGCCTCTGCTCTGCAGCATCTTGGCCCACTGAACAGCCATGAGAAGGCAGCTCCGCTCCAGAAGGGCTCCGGCCTTCCCTTACGGTTATCGCTACAGACTTGTGAGTCTCGGGGAGCAGAATATTTTGCTGCCCTTTTTTAATTGGTTGGGTTGGGTGTTGTGTAGAGCTTGTATTATGGCTGTCTTGCCTTGGGATAAACAAGAATAAATAAAGTTTAGGAAAGCCCAGACTTCGCAGGAAAGTGACTCCCAGCATCCCAGGGCACCCTAAACTGCTGAATGGAAAGAGGACTCCCCTCTTTGTGGGAAGATATCAGGGAATAAGCTTTATGTTTGGAGTCTAGAATATCAACAGACCTTTGCAGATGGGAGCAGAGGTTTCACTGCAAGAAGCCAGGAGAAAAGGGAAAAAGAGGAAATGCAAGGTGCTCCCTGGCCAGCTGTCCCAGCCCCTTTGAGTGGTGACTTTTAGGAACCAGCTGCTCTTTTTCTAAGGCAGAAATTCAAACTATAGCTAAAAAACACAGGATCCTTGATAGGAACCAGAAGGAAGCCTAGCCATCCTTTCCCCAGCACCGCTTGCTAAGCTGAAGGTAGCAGGGTGCCAGATTGACTTGCAAGTTGGTGGGGACCCCAACATGAGAATGTGTATATTGTTTGTAACTTGTGCTCTTTCCACTGTGTTTCTTGTGTACAATCTCTTGAAGCTCCGGCCCATCATCACCCATTTCATCACCTTGTCCGCCACCTCGCCTCATCACACACATCCGCACACACTGGCACACATATGTCTGCACATACCTCCCACATCACCGCTTACTCTCAGGTTCTTTACAAATGCATTTGGTCCAAACGTGCCTTTACATTTACTTTGCTCTAAACCATAAGTACGTGTGTGTATGTACAACACTCTCAGGAGGGGTATTCTGAAACGCAAGAAGATTATTAGATAAACCCAAAAGAAAGCAAAACATAAACCATTTTTCTTTGCATATGGCCACTTATGTACCTGAGAAATTAAGGGATAATTGTCAAGAGCGAGAAAAAAAAAACACAATTCTTCTAATCTCATATCAACCACTAAGGGAATTTCTTATCAGTCTGATGTAGAATTTTTATTTTAATACCTGAAGTTTCTTCCCTCTTAAGACCTGTCAGTCTATGGAGTATATATAGCTGTACATTACTTGGTTTTTTTTCTATGCTGAATCGCTAAAATTGTTGTACTTAATTTGAACTATTCGCCCAGAAGTTTGAATTTTAAGTGCCACAGGGGATCTTGCTCATTATAGTATCTGATCAAGTTAAAATAAATCATTTGATGCAATTGTATGTGTAATTTGTTTACTTTTAAATCAATCATCCATCAGACGCTTGCATGACGTTACTCAGTGCAAGATCCAAATTTATCCTTTGGGTCATCTTGCTTGTTTGTATATTTGTTCCGATGTTTATATATTTAGATTGCTCAAAATGGAGCTACCTTCTGTCCTTCAGGTTTCCCTTTTAGGGAAACATGAGGGCCCCAGCACACGCCCACTACCATATCTGAGCATGCTCACACTCCCTATCACATGAGGGTGGTGCCACTTTAGGAAACTGACAGAAACAGAACCTTGGAGATGAACGTCCTCATCGCCAAAACATTTCCTACTGAAGCGTGTTAAATGATTGCATGAAAGTGCATTTTACGCAGGCTTTCGTTAACAAGGAGCCTTTGGGAAAAAGCCTGTCTTGCACGCTGACATTTCCCTAACACTGGAAGCAGAGAAGAGGAAAAAGATATTTTGGTTCCTGAAATAAAACTCAGGTGGTAGGAATCCATGAGGGGAAAATAAGCTCCAAGAAGATTAATTCTTCCTTGGAGGATAAGACTTTAATGACAGCCATTTTAATAAGATTATGTGAAGCCCATATCTACAAATAAAATAAAGCTGTGCCCATGGCCAGCTGCTTCCTCTGCAGAGCAGAGGTGGTAGGGCAGGCACAGGCAACCAAAGGGAGTTGTTCCAGAAATATAAAAGGATTGAAAATCCTTCCTGATGAAATGCCACATTTCAAATTCTGTGAGAATTTGGTGCATGGGCTTTCTAGGGACCATGATGACTAGCCAGTCTAGTATGCATAAGGATGACAAACTGTGAGAACTTTCGCTCCAGGCGGGAGCACTGAGAGAGTCCACTGAGTACCTTGCTGTGGGCTTCACACTGTGAAGAGACCACAAAATGGTAGGAAATATGGCCCTTCTGCCTGTGTGTCCAACGCCTGATTTGGGAGATAAGCGTGAACATAAGTTCACACATGAGTGAACCATTTAAGAACGTACATCAGTTCATTTAACAGTGAATGATAGGCAAGGTTGATTTTCCTAAGCCTTATACTATGAATCCATGTCAAAAATCCTTGATTATAAGCACCTACATGTCGGGAACACAGACTCTAAGACATTATCATGTTCATAAATCTGCTAAGCCACTTCTAGCCACTTGTGTTCAGTGTGATGGAGGAGAAACTGTGCAGAGTATCAAGAGACACAAGTTCCGAGACTGTCAACTCTGTCATGGATTTGCTGTGTGGCTTTGGCCAGATCCTCTCCCCTCTCTGGAGCTCATTTGGACAATCCTAATTTGGAAGCCCCCGTAAGTTCTGATATGGTATGTGATGTGGAGCTGTGCGTCTGAACAAATTAGAGAACAATTCAAGGGTGCTCGAACTCAAGAGCTAGAGAGCGCTGGGCAGACTAAATGCAGAGGGCAGAGATCGGTCCTTCTGGAACACTGTCACTGTTTCTGAACAACCCGATTTGCTCAACTCCGTGCTCAAGGCAGCATGGGTAGCTGAGTGCCCTCTAAGTGGCCTTTGAGGAATCGGGCAGGAAGGGGGCAGCACAGAGCCCATGGCTTCTAGCATTTGACACATCCAACCCCGACAGGTGCACCAGCCCTGACACTCTGCAGACTTGGACGGCACAAAGAAGGCAGGGTGGCCTGATTTTCTGCTCTTGCAGTAAGCCTTGGCAAACTCCCAAAGAGCAAGGGTACAAGCCTCTGGCCTTTACATCGGAGGCATGGGAAATACCACTGGCTATGTCTGGGGTTTTCTTTTTCTTTCTTTCTTTCTTTATCTCTTTCTGGTTTGTTTAACTTTTTGAAAGCAATTCAAAGATCACTGCTTCATATCTCAAGTACTGGCTGAAATCAATTGACAAATAGATGCTGAGTACTTACTTTCTGCCCAACTTTTGATTTTATATTTTTATTTAAGTTTTAAAATTAAAACATGACTACATCCTTTCCCAACTCCCTTTCCTCTCTCTAACCTCTCCTATTTACCCGCTCCCTTTTAGGCCCTTTCAAATTCATGGCCTCTCTCTTACTTTAATTAACTTGCTCAGTCTGTTTAGTGTTACGTATATGTGTATGGATATGCCTAAGTTTTTAACTAAGTTACAGGGGAAAACAAAGGAAGTATCTGTTGGGATCTCATCTCTCAGGGGTCTGTCTGTCTAGCTTAAGACAGGAAGCAGGAAATGAGTTCTTGTTTGTGTCGGGAAGGCCGTGGAAGTTTAGAGGAGGGGTACAGCAGTTGGCTTCTCCTCTTGATATCTGCCTGAGCCTATTTTTAGCTGCGACTTAGGATGGTGAGGTCAAGCAGCTGAAAGTGTACCGAGCATTAGGGCAAAGCTGGCTTGGGTTTGGAAGTTGCCATCATAGGCATAAATGTCCAAGACTGTTCGGACCTTCAGTGTGAGCTCAGCTCAGTCCTGATAGGTCAAAGTTCAGTGGAAGGCCAAGGCCTGAGACAGAGCAGTGACGTGAAATATCATAGAGAAAGAACCTAAACACCTGACGCTAAAAGGTAAATTTAGCACCACTGTGGAAATAACAGTGCTTCAATATGGACTATAGAAAGGATGCTTCCTCCAAACGAGTGGAGAAGGAAAATTCACCTCTTGCAACAATGGGTATTTTTCTGGGGATGTGGAAATTTGAAACATCTCCAAATAGTGAGTGCTTTCCATTTACTTTTGGCTGGTGGGCTATGCCATTGGGGTTGTGTTTCTCACAGAGAGCTTTGCATTTTATCGCTGCTCCAGGATGATCAGGATGAAGTAAATCAGAACTACTTAGCAGATGAGGAGGAGGAAGCAGAAGAAGAGGCTCAGGTGATGCTGGCTCCTGGTCTGGAGGAAGAGGAAGAAGAGGAGGAAGGAAAAGAGGAGGAGGAAGAAAGGGAGGAAGAAGGTCAGGGTCAGCCGACAGGCAATGCCTGGAGGCGGAAATTGCAGACGGTGACTGAATACCTTTGGGACCCGGAGAAAAGGATGTCTCTGGCCCGAACAGGTCAGAGTCGGAGTAAGTCCTATTCATCCCAATGCCCCAGTCTGGTGTCCTTGGCTTTTGATGTGGTGTCCAGAGCTCCTCGGCTGGCCAATCCACCAATCCACGGGTTTGTTACAGACTTCTCTTAACATTTCACAGAAAGGCCAGTGGCTGGTGACATCCTTGAACTGAGGACCGATCAGCTCCCTCAGAAAAGCCACTAAATAGATGAACAAGAGTGAATGTGTGACTGAAATTTACTAGTCTCAATATGCAATATAAAATAACACTGAGGGCGAGTTGACAAAGCACGGGATTGTGTGTCTGTGTCTGTATGTGTGTGTGTGTGTGTGTGTGTGTGTGTGTGTGTGTGTGTGCGTGCGCGCACGCGTGCCTATCACTTTCTATGCATGTAACTGACTACAGGCTTATCACTTATCCTTTTGCAGTCTCAGTCTCCCCGCATGCCAAATGGGAAGGTGGGGGATTCTGCATTGCCTCTCTATCAGAATCACCCTAAGACTGCAATACAGGATGAAAACCATAATACTGAAAGGTATATGTAGAAGACTAGGATATGAGACCAAGCTCCTGCTAACCCGACCACGGCTTTATAAATTCTTATCGGTTCACTTACCAGTGTCTGAGAAGGAGAGCCCCGAAGCCTGTCCAGACCCCAGCTTCTAAAGTGCTTTATGCCTCCAAGGTAGATACAGAAGAGCTGGTTTTAAAGAGATCATTGCTAGGGAATAAGGTTGAGCTTCCTTGTTGATGGATCATTGATAGGATTTCATATCTTAGTTCCTTCCCTTTATATCACATGTTGCCACTATTTTTACTTCACAAATTATCCAGAACTCGACTCCCAGGAGTACTTAAACTGACTTCGTAAGCTATTGCTGCAGAGCTTTCTCCTCAAAAGATTTTGTGGGTAGGAAGATTTCATACTTGCCACATTCTGCACAGCCCAGAAGAAAAGAAAGCAGCTGCTGATTAATCCATAGGAGGAAATAGAAAAACACAGTGCGTGTCATGGATGAAGTACGAGTCCCCTGCTGCCAAGGCTCCAGGTTGTTGAAGTCAGTGGCCCTTCCTTCCAAAGGCCCTTTTGGCCAAGATTCATGTGTTTTGTAGCCAATGCTGCTAATTCAGCTCCATTTGCACGAAGTAGCCAACTCTATTTCCTGAAATTAGGAAGAGCAGGTGTGAGGCTCTAAACAACGCCCATCTCCCTTTGCTCCTCCTCAGTTCCCAGCCCCACCCCTGCCCAACCCTGAAACTGTAACTAATGTACCATTTAAGGGACATTCCAATGTCCTGGAAGCTACAGACAAATGCTAGTCACTCACTAGAGCTCCAGAGGGGGCCCAACTCTTTCTTCCTCACCTAGAGAAGACTGGAAAAACTGGCTTGAGAAATGTGAGTCCAATTCTGGGAGAGGGGACCCATACTTTAACCCTTAAACAGCCATTGGCACTTCACTAGACATCATCCATATAAATTGCTCTGGTGGATGACAAGCCATGGGACAACAAAGAGGGACGATGAAGTAAGGTTCAGTGCTTGGGGAAGACATAGCAATGGGGACGCTTAATTGTAGGCTGCAACCAGACCCATGGCGCACAGGTCTTAGGCTAGCCTAGCAATTCAGACACCTGTCAGATTGCAAGACAGCAGAATAGTGACAAGAATCATATGAGGTAATAAATAGTATTAGTATTCTATTTTACAAGTGCAAAAACAGGCTTAGAAAGGCCTAAAATCACACAGTAACTAAGTGACAGTTCTGGGATTCAAATACCAGAATTCATTCTCTTGCCAGAATGCCTCATTATCTTCATGAATTTGAGCAATGAGGAAGGCCCTCCCTGATTTGTAAGGTTTCCAGAGATTAGATGCTTTGTTGGGTAAAGAGTTGGGAGCAGGAGCACTTAGCGGTCTGTTCAAGCTTGGGTGGGGACTACTCAGGACAGAAACCTAGAAGAGGATCCCAGGTACAGCAATCTATCTGGAGGAGGAGAGATCAGAGAGACTGATGAATGTAAAAGGGGCGGTGCTTGCTTTTGTCTGAGGGTTGGTGAGAGTCTAAACTAGCACCTCTCCTCACCTAAGGCTAAGGGGGACTCACTAGTAGTGCCACTATCTTATCTATAGCTTTCTGGCCCACACATTTTAAGGAGAAGAGAAGATATTGCTAAGGGAATAAACCTGTGATCCATCGATTACCCTACACGCATGAGACTGAAACTCTTGGTCCCCTAAGATGGCTCCAGGCTGTCGGTCCATTCCCAGGATGGGAATGGGAATGGAGAAATGGAGGCAGAAACACAGGACACATCCCATTAGGATAGCCAGTGAACAACAGGCAAGAACCACAAACACACAGACATGGTTGCTTCTTCTCTGGGAACTCCAGCTAAATCCATGTTTCAGTTCTGCTTTTGTCCATTTTTCACAAACATAAAGGGTCAATTCCATTTCCAGCTGTATTACTACAGTCACTCTCTCTCTCCCCCCCTCCCCCCAATTTTATTTGGTTCGTGGTTCAATTTTCAAAATGAACATTCGAACTTATTTTGGGGTACACTGAAGTTGTGTGGTTTATCCCAGTTTCTGGTTCATGATTCAGTTCAAACCTTTAGTTCCAGTATCATTGGCGCATCTATGAGTGAAGGCAATTACATCTGCCTAAGAGGTCCCCAAGGAAGGCTAAAAGAGCTCTGGGCATCTATCTCATGCTCATTGTCCTCCCCCTACTATATAGTCCTGGAACAAACATAATCCTAATTCAACACAGAGAAGGGCAATTCGTATAATCATGCATCTGAGCTTATAGCAATAATAACAATATTAATAATAGCAATAATGATGAATGCCATTTATAGAGCACTTAGGATCTGCCAGGCAATGTGCCATGGTGTTGATATGCATTATTTAATGTTTATTTAATATACCAAGTACTGTGCTTCTGTCCTTGTTATCAGGTGAGGACACTAAGGCCCAGTGTGGCAAGCCTCAGGTCCAAGATGCAACAGACAGAAGGAGTAGAATCAGGATAAGATTATGAAAAGACTGAGTTTGGGATACTGTCAGGGATACAGATAAATATATGTTGTAGATTCTACAACCTTTCCAAGTTCACATACAGCAAATATCAGTGATTAAGTACTATTTTCTCCTACTATCTTCCCCATCCTTCATTAGTGTTCTTCTCGGAAAGAAGAGCAACTTAAGCTTTGCTAAGGATGAATAAGATTTTAAATAAGAGTCAAGGATAAGCCTTGATTAGAAGTAAGTCCAGTGGAAATGAGTCAAAGCTTTGAATTCTAGACTGTGTGAACAGAAAGGCTGCTTTGCAAATGTCTTTGATCACGTTGCTAGGTCTCTTTAGGACACCTGCCATAATGAAGAACAAAGAACGATCTGTATTCAGGACATCAGCCATGGCCTAGAAGACTCCCAAGCAATGTCCCCTCTGCTCTCTATTGAAGTCCACTCCCTATAATCTTGCTTCTAGTCATCATGTGCCCGGCGATACTCTTCTCTGAAGATACTGTAAAGGGAAAGTACTTTCAAACCCCTGACACAGTCAATCTTCACCAGTTCCAGACTGACAAAGTCCAATAAGAAAGGATATCCTGAATCTGCCTGAGTTGATTTTGGTTCATGAGTCCAGCGGGGAGGTGGGGCTTGTTGGCAAGCACTGACTACTGTCATCTTCAATTGCTCTACAGGTCTGATTTTAGTCATTTACTTCTTCTTCTATGCCTCCCTGGCTGCTGTGATCACCCTATTCCTGTACATGCTGTTCCTAGCCATCAGTCCCTACATGCCAACCTTCACCGAGCAGGTGAAACCTCCCGGTGAGTGTGCCCAAATGACCTGCATTGTCAGAGCTCTCTGGACAGAAATCTGCTTGCACAGCATGTTCAGCCTCAATTAACTTGGGTTCTTCCCGGTAATGACTTAGAGATTCAATTATTAAGAGGAAAAGTGAAATGGTACTTGGCAAATTATGGTCCTTTTCATTTTGATTGCTATGGGGGGTGGCGGGGAGGGGAGTGTCATGGGAATCTGTATAGAAAAAAAAATCCAAGAATGGGTTAATCTAGCCAAGACTTGTTTTCATTGCCAGGAGTCATGATCAGACCCTTCGCTCATAGCCTTAACTTCAACTTCAACGTTTCCCAACCTGAAACTTGGCAGCATTATGTGGTCAGCCTGAATGGCTTTCTCCAGGGTAAGTTGCCCTGAGGAGTGAAAAGCTCTTCAGCAAAGTAGTGGGTGGCCGAGAAAGCTGCCTTAGTCACTCCTACCCGCCATGGTTCTCTGCTGTCTCACATGCCTGCTTGCATCCTTTATAATTTTTTTTAAAAAATGCTCCAATTGTGCGTTGCCCGATGTGAGCTCTCTAAGGCAAAGAACTTCTTTTCTCTTCACGAGCACCCTGCAGCACCTACTTAAATCCTGGGCACACCCAGGTGATCGGCTTTCTAAGTGATCTCTTCTAAATGATCATTCTGGAGGGAGCTAATGGTGAGGAGAGGAGACTGTCCTCTGAGAGTTGCAAGATCCCCGCCTCCTGTACGTCCCTGGGGTAAGAGAAGTCTGGGATGAGCTATCTTGAAGAGGGAAAGTAAGTGTCTTCTTGTAACAGCAATTTATAAAAGAGTCAGAGGACTGAAGCTCTGCCTAGGACATTGACCTCAAGTGTTTTGAGAATTCCTGTGTCTGTACTGTTCTCGAATAAATGGCTTTGTCTTTCACTCTGTGAACGCTAAGGTGGTAGGAGTTTGGGAAGTCTATGGAAACTTTGGGAGAGAGAGCAGCTCTGTTAGCCTGGTGTCTGCAACATGAACATCAAACAGTGTTGGTAGAATCTCAGACCATACCTCATAGCTATTTTTCTGGTGGCCAGGCAGTGGTGGCACATGCCTTTAATCCCAGCACTCGGGAGGCAGAGGCAGGCAGATCTCTGTGAGTTCGAGATCAGCCTGGTCTAAAAGGGCTAGTTTCAGGACAGGCACCAAAGCTACAGAGAAACCTTGTCTCAAAAAAAATTCTGGTGATTTCTATGAACTTTTCTGAGTGAGAAACATCATGATTCCTAACTATGCTGGTGCCATTTAAGCAGGAGTTAGAATTTCAGCTTTGTATTAGTAATGCTCACTGCTGTTTGGGGTGAAACAGCTTCAGAGTCCGCACCTGTAGAACGACAGAGCTGGGTTCTTTCTGATCCATGGAGTTCTATTTTGGGCCACAAAAGTATTTTGGGCATCTTAGTCAGCATAGTATCTTTCTTTAAAAATGCTTGTGAGCTATTTCAAGGATGCACATTGCCAGCATTTCTGCTGAGGAAATCCCTGCAATAAGATAGTAGATGGGGAAATACCAATTTTGACCCGATGATGATGGCAGGGACCAACAAGAAGGCATTGGGTTACTTCTAAAGAGTCGACGGCATGTGACTGGGGAGATGGCTCAGCAGTTAAGCCCTTGCCACTTGCCAAGCGAGCAAGAAGACAAAAGTTCGGATCTCCAGAATCCCCATATGCTGTATGGCTATGGGAAAGAACCTGTAAGTCCAGCCTCGGAAGGCAGAGCCGTGGAAAGCTGACTAGTGAGACGAACCATATTGTTGAACTTTGTGTTTGATCGGAACACCCTTGCCTCCATAAATAATGTGGAAGAGCAATCCAGAAAGTGTCCCAGCATCAATCTTGGGTCTCCATATGCACGTGCGCATAGATGTGCTCACACACATGCAACTCACACCGCATACGCAATACATGCACATGAAAATAAGAAAAAAAAAACCTAATAGATACGATGCCTTTTCCAAAAGGGCCAGTATCTGAAATCCATACCCCAGAGTATCGGTTTCATCCCTATGAGTATGGGAATGGTGCAGTCAGCGCCACACCCATGTCACGTTTTTAACGGAACTACCTCAAGAAAAATGCTGAGCTGAGCCGTGTGAGTGCGGTTTCTATTTTAAAAGTTAGTACTTAAGCATAGTTCTTATTCCTGTAAAAAGATTAAAACAAATCTTTGAATTAAATGTAGTTTTGTCAAAATAAGTTCTCTGGACTGGGAAGACAGCTTAGTGGTAGGGCATCTTCCTAGTATGTTCAAGGCCCAGGACTGCAAGTAAGAGTTCCAATGGAGGAGGGAGATAAAGAGCCAAAATGGGATAAAGAGACAATATGTGTGAAAATATTATAATGAAACCTATTTTTGTTATTAACTTAATTGCAATTCAATATTTAAAGGCAAGGAATTTTGAGAAATAAAATAAAATAACCAATTTAGCATCTCAATAATATTATATCCAAGTCACAACCTGTCTAGATGTGGAGCCTGCAGTTCTTTCTAAGTTTTACCTCTGGTGGGTCATAAGTCTAAAATCTTTTCCAAAAGAGTGAACAGCTTCAGACATGACCGCATGTCTGGATGCAAGAGGATTCCCTGAACTCCGCCATCTAGCATGGCTCAGTACATTTTCAAAGCCCAGTTTTATGGACTCCGAGGGCTCCAGTAGTGAACACGCAAACAGCTCCACTTCTCTCTCCAAGATAAGTATCTGGGACAGACACCCCATTCTGTCTAATATAAAAGGAGCAAAGTACCTCAGAGTTAGAGATGCCCTCACTCCCTCACTCTCTTGCTGAGGACCCTGTAGCTGGCATCAGTTTCTAGACTTCAAGGTAAACCTCCCTTTTGCAGTGGTAACTTGCCTCTTTAGAAGTTGGAGTTCTTTGTTTTTTTCCTCCTCTCCTCCCGCCTCTTCTCTCCTCTCCTTGTTTCATATCCCTCCAGTTCCTCTACCACAGTCACCTGTGCTTGATCTCAAAGGGAGACAGTTCCCAAGTTGAATTTAAGGAATTTTAGCCTAGACACAGCCTCCTGACATATATGTCTTGATATGATATAGCCCCTCTTACAAAATCTACTGATACAGGCCCATTCCTCTCTCAGAATAGAAGGGACAGCCACTCCCAACTTTGCTGTTTGCCATATCCAAACAAAAATAATGGGAAATGGAGAAAATGTATAAAATGATCAACTTCTAACCCTGAGATGAACACTTGAAAGTTCTGAGGAAGTGAGAGGCAGTGGATTATCCTAGCAGCTGGACTGAGGGGCAAGCTTCCTTGAGCTGCTTCCTTGAGCAGCGGCTCTCAACCTGTGGATCACAACTCCCTTGAGTGTAGCATAGCAGATACCGTGTGTATGCGATATTCACATCATGACTCATAGCAGTAGCAGAACTACAGTCAGGAAGTAGAAATGAAAATAATTTGATGGTGGGGGTCAGCACAACATGAGGAGCTGGATTAAAGGGTCACAGCATTGGGAAGGTTGAGAACCGCTATGCTAGAGGGATGGCGCTGGGAATGTCCCTTGGGTACCTAATACCAGTCCCCAGGGATTGTGGTAGAATAAGAGGACTTCGGAAGGAGTACAGGGACTTAGAGGGAAACCACTGAAAGTGTGGGCTTCCCTTCTGGCACCTCTCTAACATGACCCTTTGTCACCCACATGTGCTCTAGGCTATAACGACAGTCTTCAAGAGGAAATGAATGTAGATTGTCCTCCAGGACAGTTCTTCATCCAAGATGGGGATGAGGATGAGGACAAGAAGGCCTGCCAATTTAAGCGCTCCTTCCTGAAGAATTGCTCTGGGCTGGAGGACCCTACTTTTGGATACTCTACTGGACAGCCTTGCATCCTCCTCAAAATGAACCGGGTATCTTAGCCCTTGGGGTCTGCTGGTGTTAAGTGGATGCATGGGTAGGAGAGCATGGAAACCACATTTCTGCTGGACTCTGGTATGCACACACTGCAGCTTTGCCCATTTTTAGCCACATCATCGAAACTGCAAACAACCAGACACATTGACCAGTTAATTTTTTTCCTGAACATTTCCTCCACACCAATCTGCCCCTTGAGGGCCACTAGTTGAATGCAATAGAGTGTGTCTCTAATCTCAGCCCTCAGAAGGCAGAGGCAGAAGGGTCTCAAAATTCAGGTCAGCCTCTGTCTCAAAAATGGAATGGAAGTCCAGAGATGTTTGGAACACAAGCAGGGTTGACATTGGGAGATGATGGAGAGCGATTCTTATGTTTTCATAGCATTGTTCTGGGCTGGAGAGATGGCTCAGCGGTTAAGATTGCTGGTTGCTCTTCTGAAGGACCTGCATTTGATTCTCAGCTTCCACATGACACCTGTCTCTAACTCCAGTCTCAGGGGATCCAACACTGTCTTCTGGCCTCTGCAGCCATTAGACATGTATATGGTGCATGCACATACATGCAAGTCAATCACCTATACACATACAAATAAATTAATAATTAACTTTTTAAATGCACCTTTAAAGAAAAAAAAAAAAAACATGTCTTCCTTAGGGAGTGCCAGAACCTTTTGTCAAATACAGTCTTATTGAAACTAGAAAGTTCTTTACATCTTTTTGGTTATTTTTGCAGCAGTTTTTTATTCTGTGGATGGACCTAAGACACAAATATTTTAGGAAGCAAGCTGGGCTACACAACTTTGAAGCTGTTCGTAACATTTCTAAAAGGGGGCATAGATGAAATTTATGTGTGAGAAGTGATGAGCAAAGGCAGGGAGAAAAATTCCATTTTTACCCTGAAGTCTGTTTCTTAAAAAATAAATAAATAGGCCGGGGTAGTGGTGGTAGATGCTTTTAATCCCAGCAATTGGGAGGCAGAGACAGGCAGATGTCTGTGAGTTTGTGCGTTTGAGGCCAGCCTGGTCTACAGAGCGAGTTCTGGGACAGCCAGAGCTGTTACATAGAGAAACTCTGTCAATAAAAAGTAAATAAATAAATAAGTATAAATATATAATTAAAGCAAGCACTGTTTTGTTTTTGTTTGTTTGTTTTTTCACTAGATTGTAGGCTTTCGTCCTGAGCTTGGAGACCCTGTGAAGGTAGCCTGCAAAGTTCAGGTAAATTCTCCTTTGGAGTAAGTATGGTTAGCGCTTTTGCTTCAGCCAAACAGAGATAGTTCTTCTGTTCCAAGAACTTCTACAGGGGTAGTGTGTAGGAAAAGCATTAGTGTTTTTCATATTTTTTCTTCCTTTTAATGTATTAAGGTCTTATTTCCAGAAAGCATTCAGTGTGTGAACATGTACGTGCGTGCGTGTGCGTGCGTGCGTGTGTGTGTGTGTGTGTGTGTGTGTGTGTGTGTGTGTGATTTTTACACCTGTGAAAGCCAGAGGCTGAACCTCACCTAGGGGCCACAGCAGGGAATCAGATTGTGCTAAGACATTAATTGGGATTCTGTTTACACTCTTGCTTTTAGCTCTAATGGCTTGCTTCTTTGAACTAAACAAGCAGCTTTCATTAGAGTCATTAGTCCCTGATTTTAAAACTGAACTTCACATTTTACAGCAATGACCAGTGGCACTGGGTGTTGCAATAACAAACGACTACAAGGGAGGTATACACAGAAGTCCATTAATATGCTAATTAACTGTCCTTCAAGGGACCATTAACTCCTATCTCATCTACACCAGTTAGCTCCTTTGTAGGCAAAAGCCCTCAATCTTGGCATTGCTTCTTAAACATTGCTCCCTTCTGTTCAGTTACATCATCTGCATCCTTTAGTCTTGGATGGTTTAGTCTTGCAAACATTGCAAAAATAGTCATTGTCAGAACTAGGAATAAAGCAGACAACTCTAGGCTTCATAGGGGCAGAACGGAACACCAGCAAAAGACTCATTCAGCCACCGAGCCACATTCAGCAAATGTCTATCGATCACTTATTATATGCTAGGTGTTTAGCTAGCTGTTGGGGATGCCTAAGTAAACACAACTGAAATCAGGGCCAAGACATCTTAACAGGCAGAATGAAAGGTACCGTGGGGACACGGAAGAGAATGGCCAGTTCTGCGTGGAAAGATGAGCTTCATGAGGTCAGGCAATATTTGCCAGCTGAGCAAGGTGAGAAGAGACGAGCATTCCTTCTGTTCAGATGCATGTGTGTGTGCATAAAGTCACATGTGGGCTATGACTACAAACTAATGGAACTGATCCCACAGGCCATCATTAAAGATAAATTCATTCGTTTTTGAATAGATGAATAAGTCATAAAGACCAATGTAGTCTAAAGTAATGACAAGTGCTGTGCCACTGAGCCACATCCTAGCTCTTAATCTAACACATTAATTGGGCTAACTTCTATTTGCATTTCCCTAATGTAAGCTGTTCATTTTCAAAGTTACTATATACTGAACCTTACTAAAAAAATAGAAACATTAACAGTCAGTATACGTTTAAAAAAATAGTACTGGTCAAATTGATACCCACTTAGCAATCAAGCAGGATGAGGTAATAACCAAAATTGAAGTATAGGGTACTCGGTTTGTACCAAAACTTGTTACAGCATACTGTATATAGTACATTGACAGAAGTGATTCTATGGCCCTAATGAGTAATGGACTAATAGAGATGCACCCTTTGACCGTATGAGCCCCCAAACTGCCCGCTTATAACAGCCATAGTTCATGGCACTCCATTACCTGGTGTCATGTGATTCCGGGTAGTCCTGTTTAATCATTCCCCTTATTTGGATCTTCTTGCTTACTGTCGGAATTCTATGCACAGTGATTAAGTGGTACAGAGAATGCGGACAGAAACATGCATTCAAGTGAGCTAACCATAGACTGCGTGGCTATACTTGAGGCTCCTGTGTACCTGATGTGACTTCCAGTAGAACTGAACCTGCAATGAGAACTTAGGGAATGTTCCTTAATGCATACCTGCTTCAGTTGCAAACTCCAAGGCCGGGTAGCATACTGTGATTCTTTGGAGATAGACTACAATCACAGGCTCTTCCTAGAACAGTACAAGCTTCTCAACTGCCTTTGAAGCCTTTCTGCTTAGGACCCAAGAAACCAGAACAAAGTCATAGCAAGTAATTTTGCTCTCAATCGCCCAGTCTCTCAATACGATTTTCTTACAATACCAAGCCACAGTCACACCCTAGAAACACTTCTCTGAGGACAAATCAGGGTTGAGCCCTACCCAATTCTGAGTTTAGGTTTGAAACAATAGGTTGAGAAACAAATAGTGACTTTACCTGAGCCAGAATCCCTTTAGACTGCACTCTAACTCCCTCTGTAACCCAACATTTCACATTTATCTGCTTTTGTTTACAGAAAGGTGACGAAAATGACATTCGATCCATCAGTTACTACCCAGAGTCGGCTTCTTTTGACCTCCGCTACTACCCTTACTATGGCAAACTGACTCACGTAAGCTGTATCCTTCTTCCCCCTCTTTCATAATGGGCTCAGAGACAAAGGAAGAGCTGCCTGGGATTTGTGAAAATGAAGAAGCAGGTGGTAGTAAGGACAAGTGAACTGTGGACTACAATAGGAGTGGGGGAGGGGACTCCATTCACACGTTCCTAACAACCGCACATCCTTCCAGACCTGAAAGGCTGTCATATATGGTCTTATCTAAGCACTTCAGTTTTCAGATGAGAAAATTGGAGTTCAGGATGCAGAAGGAACTTACCCAAAGTCACACAGTTAATTACCAACCAAGCCAGGACATTATTACAGTGTATTTAACGTCTAAGTAATCACACATTCCTGTGGGACAGTGCAGGCTTCATCTCCAGTATAGGATCTTGAGGTATACTAGTTCTTGTTTGATTTATGGTCTGATAGCCATAAAATCAAATCATTCCGAGTCGGAATTGACTTCCCCCCAGAGGGTAATCAGACAACTTGACACTGACTTATGAGAGAGCAGTGTAATTTCTCCAAAGCAGGGAAAGCATGTTGGTTGCTGTGATCATTTGTGACATGGCATCATGATGTCTGCACAGTTCCCTTGGCCGAGGTTATTCTAACCTACCCTGAGTCTCTGATTACCACCTCCCCAATCCTTGCTGCCACCTTGGTCCATTTAGAATGTATTGTTCTTTCACCTACAGGTTAACTACACCTCGCCCCTGGTCGCAATGCATTTTACAGATGTGGTGAAGAACCAAGTAGTGCCTGTACAGTGCCAGCTGAAGGGCAAAAGCATCATAAATGATGTTATCAATGATCGTTTTGTGGGGAGGATAATCTTCACCCTGAACATAGAAACCTAGGAGCTCCTGGGGGCCGCTCACACCGGTTCTGGTTTCATTTTGTTTTATCCCTGGTAGCACTTCGATTCCTTTTCCTTCAGTTAAGACACAGCCAGATGGACGCCTAAGACCAGATCATCTTTCCTTGCCTTTGACGTGTGTATGAAGTGATATTGTGGGACCTGCTTGGTTTTTTTAAAGGTCGTCTCTCCCGGTGACAAACAGACTATATTAATTTCCTCTCCTTCCCTTCAAATTCAGACCTCTTGATAGAAGTCTCACTATCTACAGTTTCTGATCGCATTCATATTGTCAGGACAATGTCTATCATGTTTTCTAAAAATGTGTTGGTTTTAGAGGTGATATTATTCCCAGTCAGGTGGATATTCAAGCCCACCACCCACCCACCTTTAAAACTGCCTTCCAAGGTCTTTCCTCAGAAACCAACACCAGACAAACCTAGACTATACAAAACTGAAAGCCACTCTCCCTACACAATTTTATATAGGGGTAGGGGGCTTGAAAATTTGGCTGTCTCCCATAGGTGACTTAATTCTGATTCATGATTCCGATATTTTCTGCCAGGACTGCAAGCAATGCTGACAGGTTATTAATCTGAACTAGAGATGAAGACCTTCTATGAGACTTTTTGTGGAGGGAAGTAGATCCTAGTGCAACCGGGGAGAAGTGTTTAGCCTAGGGATACGCTGGTTCTTGATTGCTCTGTAGTATAACCAGCCAAAGGCAAAAATTCTTGCAAACATGTTTTTCTCAACTCCTAACAGAAGAGAAAACATGAAAAAAAAAATCTTCTTTGGTCAAATCGTCTTGGCCCGCTTGCTTGATAGTTGTGTGGTTGTCTTTGAGATCAGCAGGGATGGGTGCCTTGATCCCCCAGCTAGATCCTTGGGGATTGAAATTAGGGTTCTCCAACTAATACATGGCAGGACAAAAAGCTCCTGCCAAGCCTCCCTGAAGCCAATGCTCATTAGCCAGTTTTGCATTTCCTTTAAAAATCACAAGAGGCAGATGTTTATCCAGGTTGTGTATCAGCCAAGTTGCTTTGTTTTTTCTTTGGCCATGTGACCATTCCAATTGCTTCTTAATGCCTCCACCAGAGGGAGGGCTGGAACAAAAAGAGGAGGCGTGCATTACAGAATAGCATAGTGTCTCAGGGTCCAAAGCAAATTAGAATTCCACTTACAAGCCTGCAGTTTGGATCTACACTACAATGTTTAGTTTCTCCAGGAAGGGGCAACTGAAAGGCTGACGGGGAAGACAAATGAAGACGTGACTGACTATGGTATAGGGTAACGGGAGATATATAGACATAGTATACGGAAATGCTATGGGGAACACAAGGGACAATAACTCTCTCTGGCTGAGAAAGTAGCAGAGGGAATTGCGCACTCAGAGCCATAAGCATGAAGCAATCTCGTGCTTTGGTAATTCTGAACCGTTCACATGAGAGCTCAGAGGAAAGGCTGGGAGAGTAGATTGCATGAGCATTCAGGGATGTTGCGGGAAAGAGAGTCTTTAAAGCGTTTTAATCAGGGGATCTCTGTGCGCACATTGGCATTTTCGCCAGAGCACTTGGGCAGTAATAACATAAGGGATGAATCAAAGACAGAGGCGACAAGACCAAGACAGGAACTGGGGGGAAAGGAAGAGTACAAAATGACCCCAGAGTTTTGAGCTTGGCTAAAACCATTGAGATAGTGATATTACTAATCATGACTGGGTATAAAAGAGAAAGAGATTGGAGAGGAAGTTGCTGAGATCACTTTGGGACAGATTTAGCCTGTGGTTTCCTCTGGTCAGACACTGCTGTGGAGATACAAACACATGTAGAGTAGAAAAGAAGGAAAGCTGAGAACAAAAGCAACGCTTGGTGAAGTGAACTGATTTAGGAAGTATTTAATCTTGGGAACTGGAGCCGATTCAGCTTGGGAACTAGAAGCCACAGATCTAGCTCCTACCACGGTGCTTTTCTCTGGGTTTCGTGGCAGAATGGACTGCTGTTGCTCTTAGGACTGCCCCTTCCAGACCCTTCTAAATCTTCTGCATAGATTAGAGAGGGGCTGGCCGCATTTAACAAGCAACTGAAGCAAGTCAGTTGAGCAGCAGAGCGGGCCTACGTAACACAGAGACATAAAGAAACTGACTCCTCCGGCCCTACTTCCTCAACAAGTTCAAGTTTCCTAGCCCTTGAAAGGGAGAATAAGGAAATGAAGACGACAACAGCTTGAGACCATTTCAAAATGACCTCCATCAAAATCTCAAGGTTTAATAACAAAAGAGTATACAGCATCAGATCTGGGAAGGCTCTTTAGGGAAAACAACCTACATTGCCTCTGACTCCAGGTCCAGTGCTCTTTCCACTCAGAGCTGCTGCTTACCAGGAAGTGCCTACCATCTTTTGAAAAAGCATATCCCAAATCGTATCCCAAACATTCTGAAATATATCAAACTTGAGTTAAGATAGTTAACGGTTCGCAGGAACCCAACTACTGGTGCTATATTTTATACATAATACATGGTCCTGGTGAATATGTTTAACTATTAGATAAGAAATTAGAAATGATCTTGTCATGTGTGTTTCTCATTCAGTGGCAGATATTACGTCCACAGTTTCCAAGAAGTATCGAAAGGGACTAAGACAGTTTGGGCTGTCAGCAAGAACATGGAAAAATAGCTTTCTTATACAAAACTGGATATTATACAGAACTGGATTAATGAGTGTGTTCGTTCATGTGAGAGTCTAACTGTTCAGTAAGCTTCTAGTTGATTCATTTAAACAGGCTCCCATACTGTGCTGTACCAGAATTTGATTTGTATACCATCTGTTGCAATGCACTTGGTTTTACTTGATTGTCAATGAGAAATACTACTTTCACATGGCTTCATGGTTTTGTTCTTGCTATACTTTGTGTATGGTTTTTCACTTTCCACTCCTCAAAATGATTATTCTAAAGTCATCTTTCTTAGGCATCCATTTACTTGGGGTCTTCATGTAGAAAATATTTATATTGTCTTGGGGAATTGGTGGCAACAATAAACGAAATTTAAAAGCAATATATGAATTTCTTTTTCTGAATCTTACCATTGATTTTTTTCCCTAGAGGGATATGGGCAGCAAGCCATATGGGGGAAAAGCTTGAAAACTGATATTCTATTAGTTCAAAACTGGTTGGTTTTTGTTTTTCAATATTGTTTTTAACTTGTAGGGTGTCATCTATAGGGACATGGAGTTAAAAGCTGTTTTATTTGAGGGCATGTCTCTTTCCAACATCCATTCTCCATTTCCTGAAAAGACCACTTTGTCATAGCAACCTTACTTTGTCATGTTATCCCACCTCTTTTTTTCTAAACAGGAATTTGCTTTGTACCCCTAGGCTGGTCTTGAAGTCACAATCTTCCTGCCTTGTCCCCCATCATGGCCAGCATCTTCCCTTATCAAAGTTGAATCCTGCTATAAATTGTTCTGTTTGTTTATATAGGACATGAACACTGAGTGATACTTTGAGATAGGGAGATGGAAACAAGATCTCAATAGAAGCCTGGATTGTTGTGCAATAATCTATTTGTACACTGTGAAGATGTGTCTTTACCAAGGTGCCTTCTGATTGGTTTAATAAAGAGCTAAATGCTCAATAGCGAGGCAGGAGCTATAGGAGGAACTTCCAGGCACTGAGAGGACTCTGGGAAGAAGAAAGGTAGAGTTGCCAGCCAGAAACTGGTAGGAAATAGGAGGTGCAAGATGGAAGAGAGGTAATGCTATGTAGCAGAATGTAGATTACTATAAATGGGTTAATTTAAGTTATAAGAGCCAGTTGAGACAAACCTTAGCTAAAGACCAAGTTTTCATAATTAATAATAAGTTTCTGTGAGATTATTTGTGAGCTGGTGGCCAAAGAAAAATTTGACTACGCTGGATATGGGACTTCCAGGTTTATCTGACCATCTAAGTGTCTCCCAAAGCAAATCTTTTATGGACATAGCTGTTAAAGACAAATATCCCCAGCCTAGCTCTTTATTTAAGTTAGAGACTAGGTTGCAGCAGGAAAATATGATTGACTTGGGAACTTCCCTGGCCAAAGATCTGGTAGGCTGATACAGTTAGATTTCGGGTGTATCAAGGAAAGGGAAAATATTTTTTCCTGTTCTTGGCTTTTCATTAGAATCTGTTCTTTTACTGGGTTTAAATATCTGTATATATTAAAAAGTCATTTAAAGCATACAAAAATGTGATTACACTGTGCATTTCTCCAGGCAGAAAGGTTTGGGGAGGGAGGGGGAGGAGAGGGAGGGAGAATGTGAATGTGTGTTGGGGGCGATGAGGGCAAACAAGACTGGTGGATGTGAAACAGAAAGAAGAAGAAATTTAAAGGTTCCTTCACAAAGTTCTTCAGTAGAGCAGAAGGTAAACACATTTGATCGGGAGATACAAAAGATTTGAGAAGGACGTGATCGGCTCCCCCAACAGCTTACTCTCCAGAATGTACTGCCATGCAGGCTTCTGGATCAGTATAGCACTGATCAGAGTCCCACTACGAAATAGATAATAATGGGTAACTTGATAGCAATTGGAAGAAGGTTTAGTTACAAAGGGATCCTGTACAAAAAGCATAAATGTAGGGAAATGCAAATAGTACAGTAACCCAGCCAATAAGGGTTGAACACTTGCCACTTCCTAGACCCCAGGGGCAGGTATGGGGTGTGTAGAGTTGTCTGTCTGGAGGAGAGTGATGGCTTCATTGAAGGGTTAAGAGAGCCTAAGTGATAGGTCGTCATATAGAGAGAGGAAAAAGGAGACTAAATACTCAGTCTTCTTCCCGCTGTCTCCTGCTAGCAATTCTTCTCAGTCAGATCATGGAACAAAACTAGCAGCTACTGATGTGATCCATGCAGGTCAGCCTCCCAGGGAGGAATACAGCATGCAGAATGGTAAACATGTATCTGGGAGATTAAAGAGCAGGTACCTAGAGCAGCTGTCAGGTGGAAGTTCTGTACAGAGATTC